GGCCCCACATGTCGCGTCATACCTCCTACTATAATTTTTATACTAACAATACTGTAAGCCAATTCAGAGACACCTGATTATTTTTTTTCACCAAAGCTAGAATGTAGTTTTTTTTTATAGAAAACATATATTAGTACTTAATAAATTATCTTTTTATATTATGTTTTTGGCTTATATAACTGTAGATAACTTTTAATATATATATGTAATTCTTAGTAAATGCTTCAAAAATTGTAATTTTTGATTGGCACATGTTGCCAAATCTAGAAGCATAAATTCAAAGTAAAATATAACTTTAGAATCTTCTAGTAGACACCAAGAGAATTTAGTTGGCTTAGGCTGCCAAATATAAGAATATAAATGCCAAGCAGGATATAATTCTTACATATAAATAATATTGAAAAGGTTACTTATACTATATATTAGTGTTATTTTAATAATTTTAACTTAATATTAATAACTTTTTTATATAAAAGTTCTTAATATAAATTTCAAAATAAACACTTATTTATAAAATAATTTTATGTATTAATGAAAATATCAATATTTAACTTTTTAAAAATTAAAAAATTTGAAATTTAAATTCTGAAAATCTAATAACAACATTATTGTATATCCATTTGTAATAAAGTTTTTAATTAAAGTATAGAGAAAGTAATTAAAAAACAGATTAGTTGATTTTACTGGAATCAAGTCTATTTTACAATATATTTCAAACCTTCAAAATCATAAATCTTGAATTAGAAAAGCTGATAGCCCCACACAATATTTAATATAACATATAATATTCCTATATATTATTTAATTTATATTTCAAATCTTTTATTAATAAATTAATACAGTATATAAAATAGTATTATTAAAATTAATAAAATTCTGTATTATTTAATATGTACTATTTAAAAAAATATATAAAAATTAAAAAAACTCTTTCCCACTCCCCTTTCTTGCACTTGAAAATTTCCTTTTTAAGAAACTTTTGAGTTGTTTACTTTTTTCTTTGCTTTTCCCCTTTCCTCTCCTTTCCTTGGCCACAAGTCTTTCATCTTCCTATTTCCTTCTTCTTTCCCTACTCTTCTATATATACCTCTTTAATTATTCTCCCTTTACCTTCTCTTTTTCCCCTTTTTCCTACCAAAGTTAGGTTTTTTCTTCTCCCTGAAGTTTTTCCTTTCTAGGCCTCTCTCTCTTTAGAAATACTGTAGTTTATTTCATCACTTCTCTGGTCAGCTAACTCCATTTTCTCAGAAACTATATAAGAAGTGGTAAATCTTTTTCAAGAAGTGGACTTTAATGAATTTTTCTCTTCCATGGTTTTTTAGAAAAAGGACAGATGGTTTACCCTCTCCAAAAGATCAGCATGACCATCATTACCAAATCCAGTGTTGTTTACTTGTTGACGGTTAGACTAAATACATCTAAGAAACTAGTGCACACTATTATTGGCTGAATCTTTAGATGTTGTGCCTATAAGAATTTATTAGGACAATATGTAAAGACCAGGGATTTTAGTTACCCCTGAAAATGAGCTGGTGATGATGTTCACTCACTCCTTGACAATATAGGTCTCATGTGCAAGGTTAGGTATCAACATCAATATGAAAATCCAATTCAATCTCTATCCGTTGAATACTTTCGCCACACTTGGACAATGGATATACCAAATCCTTTTTGTGACTTGGAGGCCAACCTGTATAAAGTAGCTGCAGCACCTTCATGCATTAAGGTAACACTATCTATATTCCTCCCCCTGACTCCGCCTGCCATACATCAAGCCAACTTTGGAAAGCAAGCATGCTAAATCCCAACTATGACTTGGAGGCAAACCTGTATACTGGCTGTAGCACCTTCATGTGTTTGGGTACTCCCTAATTTCCTAGCCTCCTGCTAGGTACCACTCAAGAATTTGTAGGTGTTGTGAAATCTTTGCTGCAAAATTTTGGGTGGTTAAATAGATACTTAGGCAAAGGACCAATTTTGAGCCTCGCATTAAGCTCTTCTATGAAAGAGAGATGTAATTTAGTCTAGCAATTTATAATACTGTTGTAATGGCAAGTCACTTATAATAAATAGCCAAAGACTAATGGTTGTCTTTGTTCCTTAAAAAAAAAATATGTACTATTTATATTATAAAATTTACTTTAATATATTACATTATACTAATATTATTCATTTCTAATATATTATTTAATGACATTATTTTATTATTATTTTTCTGCATTAATAAAAATATCAAGGACTTACTTATTTTAACATTATCTATTAAATTGTGCATTGACTTCTTTTATAGTTGGTCTTTAATATTGTTTGGTTTCTAATATGATTCAATTAGATCAGAAAACACTTTTGTTTATTACTAATGATTTTATGTTTTAATCTCGAATGATATGGAATGCAAGTTCACGATTGAGTTTGGGATGATCAATGTTCCGTCGTAATTTCCCATATAAGAATTCTAAAACTATAAATATTGGATGTTCGAGTATAAAATGATTTCTCTAAGATTTCTGGTCCCATGAAAGTCAAAATTCCATATACGTTGTATTCATAATTATAGCCGACTTCCTGACATAGTCTTATATTTCCAAATTTAATTAATAGACAGTTTCAGAATGTATAATTTACTGATGTGTATTTTTTAATCTGTTAAATTAAAAACCAAGTCAATATTTATTCACAAATTATATAAAATGAGTTACTAATAAATAATATACCCAGCTGCAATACGATATAATTTATGTACTGTATCTTTTGTTGTCATGTAATCTTTTTTAAATTTATCCGCAAATACTGTTCCAAACATCACTCTTCAGCTTATTACATTACTAAAATAAAATCCCTAAGTTAGGGTTCCGGCGATTTTTTAATATTGCAAAATACATTCTTCTGAATATGTAATTTTAAAGGATATCAAATATAGGCGCGACTAGGTAACGTGAAATTTCGTGTCGTGTGTGCTTAAAACAATTATAGCTTCATAATATAATAAATAAATTAATATATTGTGCAACAATATAATCATAGCAAGCTTAAATAATCTTTCTTATTAAATTTGCAATATCCTATTAGCTTTAGCGATAGTTTATTATTAGCTTAGTGATAGTCTATTTGGTAAAAATACAACAATATAAGGAGGAAAAAGAGAAGGAGATGCAACAATTAAAATCATAACACAATGGATAAAAAAGAAAAACGATCTTTTATTTAAAATTCTTTCTTATTTGGTAGTCAATGGACGTTGATGTAAAGAGTAATTCTTAATAAACTTACCTGATCTGCGAATAGAAAGACAAACCGCAGAAGGAATATAGAGAAGTTTGTCGAGGAAAGAAACAGTGAAGAAAAGAAGCGTTTATTATTAAAGAAGGAGAAAAAAGAAAAAAATCCAACCTATCTCTTTGACGATTACATGAGTTTTCTTCATTCCGGCCAGCGACTGACTCGCCAAAAATTGCCATCAATATACAATAAAGATAAGTAATGTATTATTACACATCGAGAAATATACAGTAAATATACATACTTATTTTGTAAATTCTTTACCTTGGTCCTTTGAGTCATATAAATACTTTAGGGCTACTTTTATATCTTTTAAATTTTTTATTCAAGTTGTCTTAAATACTTTCTCAAAGCCACTTTTCTTCAAGTATTCAATATCCTTAAATTCAGAAATAGTACGATAGTAGGAACTTTAAATTCAATGAGTCTTGTTTCTCCTTTCCTGTATCTGTTTATCATTTTAAAAGTTAACCCATGGCTTTGTATTTCACTTCTAGAAGTTGACTTTCTTTCTAATGATCTATCGAAATCTAAAAGTGATTCGTCATATTTATTTAATTTTCTGTATGCTATTCCACGAATCATCAATTCGTCAGTATTATCTGTTCTATTTATAGGATTTATTGAAATCAAAAGTGATTTATTATATTTATTTAAACCTTCTGTGATTCCTCCGATTCTACAATGTAAAACCATCATTTGGTTCTGTTCTATTAATCAACGAGATCTGAAAGTGATTCGTTGTATTTTTTTAACAATATGTAGTGTCTCCACAAATCCTCAATGTGCCGGCATTATTTGGTTATTTTCTAGTGATTTATTGAGATCTGAAAGTGATCCATTATATTTATTCAATATTTTATAAGCTTCTTTACGAATCCTCAAAGCAGAACCATTATTTGTTCTATTTCTAGTGATTTATTGTAATCCGAAAGTGATTCATTTACTTACTCAGCATCTTGTAAGTTTCTACACGATCCTTAATGCAGAACCCTTACTGTATTTGGTTCCATTTATGTTTTATTAAAATCGGAAAGTGATTTGTTATTCTAGTAATTAATTGAGATCTGAAATTGAATTGTTATTTTTATTTAACACTAAATTTCTCAACAAATCCTTAATGCAAAAGCATTATTCGGTTCTGTTTCTAGTGATTGTGATGGAGAATTTTGTTAAGATAAGGCCAAATGCGATTTTATTTCCTGCAAAAACTAAGAAAGTTTTCAAAAACACTTAAGTCATAAACTCGTCATAACAAATTCAAAAATCTCGTGATTGGCAGTTTCTCGCTAAGAGGCTTTTAAACTATTTAACTAAACTCAACATTACTAACTTATAAATAATTCGGAGACAATAAATTGTTGTCCGTCTTTATTTAAGGTGGAATTTACATCACTTAATAAATGTTCAACTAGAGATGAAATAGCGTTATAAACGATATAAACTCTCGAATAAATAGATAAAATATAATGGGTAAATGCTATAAACTAAATAAATGCTATAAACTAAATAAATGCTATAGACTACAGTAAATAGAATTAACGATACCATTGAGTAATAAATGTCGTTACTGTATCTCGATTTCATCACTCTCGCCAAATTCTATTTCCAGAATTTCTGGTATGATTGTTGCGTCACGTTGGTCCGTCTAGTAGATCCCCTTTCACATAATCTACAGTACAGTATTTAGATCAGAAAGTAATTCTTTATACATAGTATATTCAACTTTCTGCAAATTTCCCCAATGCGTCGGCATTATTTGGTTCTATTTCTGAAGGTATATCGGAATTCGAAGGTGATTCGTTGTATCTATTCAACATTCTGTTAGTTTCTTCATGAATCCTCAATGCTTCAGCATTATTTGGTTTTATTTCTAGTGATTTATTGAGATCTGAAAGTGATTCATTATATTTATTCAACATTCTGTAGGTTGTTCCACGAATCATCAATGTTTCGGCATTGTTTGGTTCTATTTCTAGTGATCTATTAAGATCTGAAAGTGATTCATTGTATTTATTTAATCTTCTGTAAGCTTCTCCACGAATCTTCAATGTTTCGGCATTATTTGGTTCAATTTCTAGTGATTTATTTAGATCCGAAAGTGATTCCTTATATTTATTTAACATTATGTAAATGCTCCCACGAATTCTCAATGTGTCGGCATTTTTCGGGTTTATTTTTAGTGACTTATTGAGATCTGAAAGTGATTCGTTATATTTATTCAACATTCTGTAGGTTGTTCCACGAATCATTAATGTTTCGGCATTGTTTGGTTCTATTTCTAGTGATCTATCAAGATCCGAAAGTGATTCATTGTATTTGTTTAATCCTCTGTAAGCTTCTCCACGAATCTTCAATGTTTCGGCATTGTTTGGTTCTATTTCTAGTGATTTATTTAGATCTGAAAGTGATTCCTTATATTTATTTAACATTATGTAAATGTTCCCACGAATTCTCAATGTGTCGGCATTTTTCGGATTTATTTTTAGTGATTTATTGAGATCTGAAAGTGATTCTTTATGTTCATTCAACATTCCGTAGGTTGTTCCGCGAATTCTCAATGCGTCAGCATTATTTGGTTCTATTTCTAGTAATTTATTTAGATCTAAAATCGATTCTTTATATTTATTCAACATCATGTAAATTTCTCCACGAGTACTTAATGCCTTGACATTATCTGGTTCTATTTTGAGTAATTTATTTAGATCTGAAAGTGATTCGTTATACTTATTCAACATAATGTAAATTTCTCCACGGATCCTCAATGCGTCAGCATTATTTGGTTCTATTTTTAGTAATTGATTGAGATCTGAAAGTGATTCGTTATATTTATCCAACATTATGAATATTAACCCACGACTCCACAGTGCGTCGGCATTATTTGGTTCTATTTTCAGGGATCTATTTAGATCTGAAAGTGATTCTTTATATTTATTCAACATCCTGTGAGTTTCTCCACGAACCCTTAATGCAAAAGCATTATTTGGTTCTATTTCTAATGATTTATTAAGGTCTGAAAGTGATTTATTATATTTATCCAACATTCTATAAGTTTTTCCACGAATTCTCAATGCGTCAGCATCATTTGGTTTTATTTCTAATGATCTATTGAGATCTGAAAGTGATTCTTTATGTTTATTCAACATTCCGTAGGTTGTTCCGCGAATTCTCAATGCGTCAGCGTTATTTGGTTCTATTTCTAGTAATTTATTTAGATCTGAAAGCGATTCTTTATATTTATTCAACATAATGTAAATTTCTCCACGAGTCCTTAATGCTTCGACATTATTTGGTTCTATTTTGAGTAATTTATTTAGATCTGAAAGTGATTCGTTATACTTATTTAACATTCTGTAAATTTCTCCACGAATCCTCAATGCGTCAGCATTATTTGGTTCTATTTCCAGTAATCTATTGAGGTCTGAAAGGGATTCGTTATGTTTATTTAACTTCATGTAGAATGCTCCACGAATTCCCAATGCATTGACATTATTTGGTTCTATTTCTAGTAATTTATTGAGGTCCGAAAGAGATTCGTTATATTTATTAAACGTTAGGTAAATTCCTCCACGAATCCCCAATGCTTTAGCATTATCCGGTTCTATTTCTAGCGATCTATTAAGATCTGAAAGTGATTCATTGTATTTATTCAACATATTGTAAGCTTTTCCACGATTTCTCAATGCTTCGGCATTACTTGGTTCCATTTCTAGTAATTTATTGAGATCTGAGAGTGATTCATTATATTTACCCATCATTCTGTAAGTTGTTTCACGAAAACCCAATGCTTTGACATTATTTGGTTCTATTTCTAATAATTTATTGAGATCTGAAAGTGATTCGTCATTTTTATTCAATATTGCGTAGGTTACTCCACGACAAAACAATGCTTCGACATCATTTGGTTCTAATTCAAGTGATCTATTGAGATCTGAAAGTGATTCGTTACATTTATTTAACTTCGTGTAAATTTCCCCACGAATCCTCAATGCAAAAGCATTATTTGGTTCTATTTCTAGGGATCTACTTAGATCTGAAAGCGATTCTTCATATTTTTTTAACATTCCGTATGTTGCTCCACGAAACCTTAGTGCGTCAGCATCAGTTGGTTTAATTTCTAGTGATTTGTTGAGATCTGAGAGTGATTCGTTTAATTTATTCAACATATTGTAAGCTTTTCCACGAGTCTTTAATGCGTCAGCATTATTTGGTTCAATTTCTAGCGATTTATTGAGATCCGAAAGGGATTCTTTGTATTTTTTCAACACTCCGTATATTAGTCCACGATTCCTCAATGCTTCGGCATTATTTGGTTCTATTTTTAATGATTTACTGAGATCTGAAAGTGCTTCATTATACATATTCAATATTCGGTAAATTTCTCCACGATTCCTCAATGCCTCGGCATTATTTGGTTCTATTTTTAATGATTTACTGAGATCTGAAAGTGCTTCGTTATACATATTCAATATTCGGTGAATTTCTCCACGGATCCTCAATGCTTTGGCATTAGTTGGTTCTATCTCTAGCGATTTATTGAAATCTGAGAGAGATTCGTTATATTCATTCAACATTAAGTAGGTTACTCCACGACTCATCAATGTGTTGACATTATTTGGTTCTATTTCTAGTGATTTATTGAGATCTGAAAGTGATTCGTTATATTTACTCATCTTTCTGTAAATTTCTCCACGAATACTTAATACTTCGGCATTATTTTTTTCCATTTCTAGTAATCTATTGAGGTCGGAAAGCGATTCGTTATATTTATTCAACATTCCGTAGGTTGCTCCACGCATCTTCAATGCGTCGGCATTATTTGGTTCTATTTTAAGAACACTATTAAGATCTGAAAGGAATTCGTTTGCCATTTTGTAGGTTACTCTACGATTTATCAATGCAAAAGCATTATTTGATTCTAATTTATGGTGGTTTCTTCACAACTTATAAAGGCGCTATGACACAACGCAATATTTGGTTCTACAATACTCTTTATGATAATGTTGACGCTCAGTACAACACTACGCTGTAAAATCCTTACTATAAATTCGTCGTTCATTTAAAGCATGTGACTAGTATTCTCGGACTGTTACTATTATAATCCGAGAATGCTTCAAATAGGCAAATAATTTTGACAAACGATTGTACAGGCGGTAGTACAGTATTAGGGCGTATATACATGATGACAAATAATTCTTCTTTGGGACACTTCTGTATTTAAAATAAGACATGACATAAACATAAATATGGACCGTAAAAAGATCATACAAAGAAAAAAATTACATGATAAGCTAAAAAAAGAAAGAAATTTCTGTCGTTAAAATTGTCAAAGTATTAGGATGATCCTGTGATAGAAGTTAAAAATCTCATTTGTAAAAGAAGCCAACCATTTGTATCAAAAATAAATAAATAAATAATAATGGATCTAAACTGTTTATTAATAGATATTTTGAACATTAAATTCTATATTAAGGTATACGTAATTATTAAGAAATGTCAAAATACTTACTACAAAATTTATACAAAACTCAAACCAAAACCATAGAGTAAATCAATTACATAGCCAATTAAAATATGTCAGAGAACAATAATTGGGTTTAAAAAGATTAACAGCAAATTCTATAAATGTATAAGTCTTCTATAAGTATTATTTCTAACAGAAAATTCAAATTAAACATTCGGATTTTAAGTTATATAAAAATGGTTATTTAAAAGGTTACAGATTACAATTATTAATATGTGAATAAAATTGTATATTATTAGATTTGCATCTTACTATTTATGAATAAACAATTAATTATTCAAAATTACCTTTTAATAAACGGATATCACAATAGAATAATATAAATTTGTAAAAAAAATTAAAACCGAATTTGAAATTCAAGTTGCTAAAGTATTAAATCTTGATCTAATTGAAAATATAATATGGAATTATTTATAAGCATGTTTAATTAAAAAAAACTAATATTTGAAACTGAAATAATATTAAATTTATAAATATGTAATAAGAGTAATCGATAAAAGATTATGATATATATATTTTTTTTAACTCAACTAGCTAGGCCTTGCCTAATGTGCTTTATTTAGTTTACATATGTATTTCTTTTACAAGAGTT